CTTGATTTAACTGGCGACGACATATTTATTAAACAAATATTTAGAATCTAGTTAGGTTAAGCAACCATATTACAATACATATGGTTACTTTCTATTTCTAGTCATTCCACAGCATCAGAGATGTTTTAATCTTGATAAAACTAATTTTTTGTTACAAACCTTTTATATATATACTGCTTTTTTTATTATTTTAGTTTATGTTATCTTAATATTACTTTTTCAATCAAATACTCTATAAATTGAATGTGAAGATATTAGTACTGCTTTATCTCCAAAAGACTTATATACATAATACTTTATATAATAAAACCTTCTATAATACTACTATTACATATAATGCTCATATTCTGCAAAGTCAGTCTTTTTTTAGAAATTTTTGTTTCTGTTATGTACTGTATTTGAACTTGACTACAGGACTTCACATTCAATTACAGACTCTTTTATTAGGTTACAGAAGCTAAAATCTTTTGATTTTTGCCTTCAACCAAACTTGAACCATTGATCTTAACTGTGAGAGTATGAGAGCTTAACCACTAAGCTATAAAACCCACACTCTAATGCTAAAATTTAACTTATTTTATTATAAATATTTTAGGCTTTTTTTTATAGTTATACTAAATTTAGAATTAGTATTTATAATAAAAAAGTATAGATGAATTTTAGTAAAATTTATATTTTCAAATTAAGGCCCCAAATTTTAGCATTATCTGATTTCAGTATCATTTCTAACTTAAAATATTTAAAAATATTTTATTGCTTATATAAAAATTATTAATTTTTAAATATAAAGTTAAATTAATAGAAGTTAAGCAAAATTTTTCTAAATAATTTTTTTTAAATTTTTCTATTGACTCACTCTCACATATACTTTAATCAAATTTTTGCTTTAAACTTGAAATTATATTTATATTTTATTGATTTAGATCACATGTAAACCTTAATTTGATTGACTAATAAACAAAAAAAATCAATTTATCTTACGTACTATTAGGAATGCACCAGTCCAGTCCAATTTGTATAGTATAATATTAACGACCCCGGTCCATCCTCGGTCCAAAACAGTCCTCTAGAAATTTGACTGGGCATTATTAACCGGTCCAAACAGTCCATTCACAGTCTAATTGGTCTCGGTCCAAAGACTGGTCTTTTGCAGGACCGGCGCATCCTTACGTACTATATATACAACTATTTTTTTCAGTAATTATACACCAAGCGATTGGTTTAATGTAATATAAAAAAAGTTAGTTTAAAAAATTTTCCATACAATGTCAATTGATTTTTTAGTTTGAACTAGTGCTTTTGATCCGTTCAAAAAATCCATCAGATATTCTATTAGATATCTGTTCAACGAAAATATATTTACAGATAGTCGAATATCTATTAAATTAACCAATACTTCGATTAATAATAATGATGTATTAATAGATTAGAGTTTATTTTTTTTTCATAAATACAAATTTTATTTTGAACGCAAAAAAATATTTTTTTTTCTTATTCATAATCGTAATAATGGATGGTAATGGTTATTTATCTAGAATTGTTCAAATTATTGATAATATTAAAAATCAAATGTTATCAAAACCTCATGATTTGATTGTAAAATGTAATTATGAAGATAGAAAAGAAAAAAAAATCTCAAACAGATAATTCAATTGGAACACCAGAGGTTTTTGTCATTGTTTCTGTATTTCATCCTATCATTATCTATCATGTTAGAGACCATGTATAAAATAAAAAACTGAAATTTCACATTTCATAATGAATTTGAAAGTCATCTGCACAATGCTACAATGGTATATCGACGATATGTCAAAAAAGTTTGTGCTACTATGCCCAATCAAAATTTAACTATTTCCATATAAATATTTATTTTTAAACAAAAAACTTATTTTTTCCAAACAAAGGATGAGTGATCCTGATGGTAAGTTCGTTTATTAAATACCTTTCTATATAAAATTCTGATTAGATTATTAATAAACTTATCTAAATCTTATAAATTAGTACCACCCGAAAGACCAAAATATAGAGCTGGTCGCAAACCAACCGCTGTCAAGATTTATACCGTGAACCACGAGTCCAAGTAAATATAATATTTAAAAAAATTTCATAAATTATCGAAAAATTTTAAATCTTTTAAATATTTTTAATAGGTATTTAGTTGTAGAAAACGTACCAGCGTTGGGCCTAAGCAAAGAATTAATAGAAGTTTTTTCCCTTTATGGAGCTATTGAAGAGTGTGTTATTATTATTATTATTATTATTATTATTATTTTTGTCAACTTTTTTTTTCGCATAAAACTAAAAAAAAAATTGAATCCTTAGATATCGGTATTTAGACGATTATCCATGTGAACAATTTACAGACGTATATTGGATAAAATTTCAATCAATTGCTGAAGCTAGGTAATCTTTAAAGAAAGTAAGGAAATTATTTAAGATTTAAAATTCACAATAACTCAATTGTATAGAGTGGCAAAGAGAAAGGTTGATGATCACTCTTTCTTTAGCTCTTATCTAAGAGTACGTTACGGACCTGAATATGAAACTATCGAAGATACACGACAAAAATTACAGGATAGGCGTAATGTTGTTGCAATCAAGACTCGCGAATATAATGATGAAAATAAAGATAAGGGTATTGTAATATACCTATTTATTTTATTTTACAACAATTATGAATCTCATTAATACTAATGATCGAATAAATACTTTAGATGCCAAATCGACGACACTTAATGTTACCACCTTCCCATCAACGTATTCTACGGCAGAGTCCACATCAACTTCTTTATTGCCACCCATAAACATCTATCCACAAATGTATGATCATACCAATTACACGTATTCAGATTATAATTATTCATATCCTTATTCAATATATTATAGGTCAGTATGTACGTATCAAATAAATAAATAAATAAATAGATATAAACGTTAAACATGAAATTTCACTTTCTACATAGTCAATATAATCAAGAAGTATCAATACCAAGTGTTGATTATCAACATAGTCAATATAGTCAAGAACCACCAATACCAGGCGTCGATTATCAACATAGTCAATATAGTCAAGAGCCACCAACATCAGGTGTAACATCAGGTGTCGATTACCAACATAGTCAAGAACCTCCAATACCAGGTGCCGATTTTGAATCTACAAGTTTTGCTGCTGCGTCATATCCATTACGGTTTACTCAACCCTATGTAACCTATGTAATATTAATTATATATATCTTTTTTCGATAAAAGTATTCATTTGTTAATAAAGCTTGTTTTTATTTTAAACACAGGATTCACAATCTTCCACAGTCCTCTCAATACGACAACGATTAAAAGAAGTTTCAACAGTATCGACAACATTACCACAAAAAAATACGAGCAACATACAATCAGAGGAACAATCAAAAACGACATCCGAACGAAAATTATCTGTTTCGGAACCTAAGAAACGTCGAAGAATTTAGTTTATAAATGTCATTTGAATTTAGATATAACGATGAAGAATATCCGACTTTTTAAAAATGTTTATAATAATTTATTATTATTATAAGCTCACTTTATCATTTTCGATTCTATAAGATACCTTTGAAAAAAAACCATTTGATCATTCATAATATTGTAAATTAACGAAATTGAAAAATTTTCATTTGTGAATTCAAAAAAAAAAAAAATCATATTATCAGAATTTATTTACACTAATATTTTTATCAATTATTGAAAAGTTCTAAACTAAGCTTATGATGCCCCGTCTTTTTTTTTTTGGTTTGTTTTTTTTTTTTTTTTTTACAAAGAAAAGTATTGTAGTAATAGTAGTAATAATAGCAAATAATGATAGTACATACACGGAATAAATAAAATTCGGTAAATACTAATACATATTTATGCGGGAAAAAAGGATTATTTGAGTTCAAATATATATATATATATATAAAAGAAACAAGCATAATATGATTCTTTAAGGAATCAAAAATTTTAATTATTATTTTTATCTTCCCCAGATACCAATCCCACTCCCAACGCAAAAGACGAGGAACAAACATAACATTAACAAGAAAGCCATAAGATATGCATACGCCTCACTGACCACGAACCTTATTAATAAAAAACCAAATACCATATACATTAACACCAACCATTTTAAACCCTTATTTGAACGAATACTCCGTAATTGTCTTGCCCATCTTGAACCACCAGTATGTGAACCATTTCTACTATTTGTAGTACTATCATCAATAAAAGTTCCATTATTTGCAATTATTCGTTCTAATTGTGTACTAGGAGGAGTAGAATTTAGGGCACCTGTTGCATGAGCATTTTGAGAAGTGTTGATAATAAATAATTGAGTATCAGATGGATCTAAAGCATTAAGTTTGAAATATTGTCGAACCGAAGATTTCATCAAGAAATCATCATCAATTGCATAAAAAATAGCTTGATAATAATAAACTTGATTAAGATTTCCTTTCTCATTAAGATTAATTGAATTAGAAGGAGATATTGAATCAAGATTTTGATTGTAAAAATTATATGGTACATTATATTTTGTGTGCTCAAATTTATAGGTCGAATTTGGTATTTTGAAAATTTCAAAGGTAGAAGAAGAAACAGTGGTTACATCATTGAGATGAGATGAAGTAGTAATAGGAAATTGAGGTTGCATAATTGGAACAGTATTTTGACTAGATGATAAACTATTATTAGAAGAATGTTTTTTGAAATGAAAATTATCAGGATGAAAAAGTTTTGGAGGAAGTTTTATCAAATCATTTGCAGACCGTCGACGTTCCTCAGTTTTAATGATAATAGAATCTTTTGAATCATTAACAGCACGATCACCTTGCCATATTGAAGGAGGAGAAGAATTTAAACCATCATCTCTGTATATTATTTTATCAGGATCAATATTAATTAAATAATCTCCTTCGTTCGTATCAAGAGCAGAAGTAGCATGTATTTCAGTCATTAAACCACCATTTTTGAGGAGAGAGGTTTTGTTTTGTACACCGAAAGGAGGGATTGAAGATTGAATTGGTTTAACAGTTTCAGCTTTAACGACATAATAATATACATCACCAATGATATTCATATTATTTAAAGGCTAAAAAAGATAAATTTTAAGATTTTAATAATATTAATAATAAAATAATAATAATAATAATAATAATGAATATATATATATATATGTATAATATAATAAATTAATAGACCAACATTTTTCGCTTTCATCCTATGTAATAACCCTTGTTCAGGTTGAGTTCTAAACAATACTTTATTAATTTGATGACCTGAATAATAAGAATTATATATCTTTGAATTATCCGATGGATCAGCAGTGGTTACTCTAGCCAAAATAAAATCTTTATCTTTTTCAGCATGCTGTTGTATAAGTGTTTCAAAAGTCTCTAGAGTAAAAGGATCTTCGATTGTTGCATCCAGTAAATGTGTAACTTTTGGAGATAATTCAACATTCTGAACATTATTTTGATTATTCAAAGCTTTAGAAATATCAATAATTTGAATAAATCGACCAGAAGTAGGAAAAGCCTTTTTAGAGTCGATCGAAACGTTACTAGTAACAGGAGGAGGAATTTTTTTGTTGTCTAAAGACAACTTATCATGTACTTCGCCTTCTTGAGTTATAGTAACAGCCTTTTCGTTTTTAGAAGTACTTTCAGACATAACTGATTTTCATTGAAATATGATCTTAATAAAAAAAAAAAAACCAAATTTTTCGAAAGATTTTTGCGTAACCAAGAAATATATAAATTGGTTAAAAGAGAACCTTGCACTTGTCTTACGTACAATAGGTGAACAAGTTATACAGACTGTAAAGTGCAGTGAAAAAGTTACAGTGAAGAGCACGACGAAAAATAAGGAAAACATTTTTATAATAAATTCAAATTAAATGGCTTTTTTCGTATGGGATGACATAATAAGTGACATGATATCAAAAATATCAGATATATTAAAGCAGAGGTGATCATGCAATCGAGATACAAATGGACAATTCGATAATTCAAATTACATGCAATTACATGCAAATACATTTCCATGAAGAAACTTGTACAGGCTTGTACAGATACAAATGGATAAAACCTTGTGACGTTTCACTTTAAAAATTTGAATGAAACTTCATGCTTGGCATAATTTTAGCAAAATTTTTTAATTTAAGTCGGGACATTTATAAATAACATTGTACGTACGCACGTAACGTACGTAACAGGTAACGTGCGTGCGTTACTAGACCTAAAAAAAGGGTCATCGCTGGTGTACGTAGGAAATTTTTTTTTAATTTCCCATGGTTATGCAATCATAATGTAACGAGAGTAAATTTAATGAAACTAAATACTATTTAAGTGGATAGTTTAATTGGATAACTTATAATATCGATATCGATATTATAATATTGATATTATAATATTGATATTATAATATATTATAACAGATAATACTAAATACAACTATACAAACCTTAGCAGTTAGGAAATCCCACTTAGGTAAATTTCTCTACAATATTATCCCGTGAATTGGCTTTTCGGGTCGACTCGCTCCCAGTTCCCAGTTACGTATTACATTAAGGTTAACAAATTAACAATAAAAAAAAACTGTCATTATTGTTATATGTTATACGTATATATTTTCTGTACGTATTTATTTATGAATCTCGTGACATAGTAATTAAAAAGATAAGAATGATACGAGTGAATTGATATATGTATTACGCCTGCGTTGAATTGCATAAACTTTATAAACAAAAAAAAAAAAAAAATACTATGAATGAATATGAAATAAATACACGAAAGATTATAATAAATTATGTACGTTTTGAAATTGTATACATATGCGCGAATCTCTATTCACGAACTCTATTCATAAAGCAAAAAGCAAAAAAAAAACCCCCCAACAGCACAACGCTAAACCACGAAATGTTAATTACTATGTTCCACCGATTTTCGGATCATTCTTCATTGTTTGCCCATTACTTAATCTTTCTTTCAAATCCTCAACCAAACAATACAATCTCAAAGTTTCCTGAACTTCCGCCGGACAGTAACTTAATTTTGTTTGTAAATTTCCAAGTTGTTGTCGTAATCTTGAATTTTCTTCCTCAAGTCTTGTGACCCGTGTTTCCAAATTTGTGACATAAGCTTTTTTGCGTTCTCGACATTGTCTAGCTGCTATTCGATTACGTTCAAGACGTCTTCTGTGACGTTCTTCTTCCGATACAGCTTGAGTTTTTATTGGTTGATTCGTAATTGGATAATGAAGTGTGGGTAAATTATGTGAATTTGTCTGTATCGGTACTGACAATGGTACTGACAATTGTTGAATAATAGGTTGAGGTTGTTGAGTCACTTGTGTTTCAGATGTTTGATGTTCATGTTGATGATGACCAATTTGGTGATGACGTAAAACATGTTGATGATTCATCGTCGTCGTAGCATGCGTTGCGTGTTCATATTGAATATGTGGATAAGCTGTTGATACTGTAGGTTGAATTGACATATGCATATGTTGAGGATAGAACGAGATGGTATGAGGTTCTTGTCGTGAAACATTCATATCCATTATTAAATTTTGTTCTGTAGTATGTAATCTCGGTGATACATGTTGTGGCGTTGGCGCTGGTGCATGCGAAGATAAAGGTGAAATAACATTACAAATTGATCTAATGGGTGTCATGGTATGTGAAGGTTCAGGAGATGGCGCATAATAATGAAGAACATTTTGTGAACTTTGTGTATTGGGTTGCGGCGTAAATGTGATATATGATGTGTTTCCGTTAATAGTTGATTCTTTCCTTCCGACAATGGATGAATCTTGTTTTGTTTCAACATTATCTTCCTTTGTGTGAATAACATCTTCTTTTGGCGTCACAAAACCAAGCAAAGATTCTATTGATGATCGAGCGACGTTATTATTTAAATCACTTTGTGTTTCATCATCGATTGGTGTATCCTGATTAGACTTTGCTTTCTCACCAACGTTATCTTGCTCATCAGGTGAATTCATTCTTTTCTTTGAAATATTAATATGTATATATTTATTATTATTATTATTATTATTTATTAATATTTTATTAATATTGTAAAGAGACACGTTTTTAGCTAAAATATTTCAAGATTCTGAAAATATTTATTGTATATTTACCTTTAAAAGAATTAACACAAAGCTACTGTTTATATGACCCGTATTTATATGTCTTTTGTCATCGATACTGAGTTTAATAATAATTTATTAGAAATTTTTTTTTTTTTACTGTTGAATATGTGAATTGACTTTTGATTTGTCATCAAAATTACGATAGTTTCGTATGAAATCGTAATAGTATGATAAGTTTGTCATTATTCGTAATAATGATGTATTTATCATTATGTTGTGATATAAATGTGATCTACTCCGCATTCGGTTTAAAAACAATTCTACGTACGTACTAATTTTTAATTTTTTAATGAATTGATGAATTAAAATATATTACGTAGTTACAAATAATTTCGTGACATAAGTATGATAGGTTATCGGAGATATATTAATTATACATGTCATTGTAATTACAATTCATTTGTCAGTTTAGACATAATGAGTAGTGATGGTCCCAAACTATTTAGGCAAATAATGAAATTACAAAAAACTACCATACTTGGGTCCCATCACTAATAACAATAAATGAGTAGATTTCTTTAGAGAGAGACAATTTTTTTTATCCATTTTGTGTACCGGTACGTGTAACGGTAATACAGTAATACCACGTGGTCTTATAAAACGTACTATTTTCGCGATTATGATTGGTTGAATATATGATGCGAAAAGTCTACGATAAGAAGTACCGGAAAGTTACGTAGACGCACTGATAAAAATTTCATCTTGCGTTTAAAATAAAATTTTATAAATTATCACAAAGAAAGAATATAAACGTTATTTAAGTTTACTATCCTTAGGTGTTGAAATACATGTAGTAGAGTTTACGATTATTCGTCTTTCATGTTTTGTTTTTTAAAAGTCATAAACTAACTGTATATGTTCCTGAATTTTAAACTATAAATCATGATCCGTTAATTTATAATTATGGTAAATGTTAGAACGTCAATCTGATCGTTTGTATGTATAACAGATAATGAATCTGATATTGATTTTATTAAATCTATTATTTATTATGCGAAATCACTAACTTAACCGAATCGGCCAAAAATCATTTGGCGGAATCTCAAATTTAAATTAAATTCAATATTATTTAAAATTAAGTATAATATACTAAATAAATTCAGCATACATAGTGAACATTTGATTTTGTACTGTACATATCGATCGATATCAGATTTGGAAAGTTATCAAATTTAAAAAATTAATATAAGATCAATTTAAATAGTTATCAAAATATTATATCAAATAAATGATTAGCTCATTGGATTTGTGCTTTCTGATTAGCTAAACAAATCTGATATCTTGCATTTTTAAAATCAGTTATTGAACTGTAAGTTATTGATTTTTTATCAGATATAAGAGGTTATCAGTTTTAACAGAATCAGTTTTGACAAAGTGAACTGTATTTACTATTCTTCTAACCTATACAATCCTAAGTATATTATTTTATAATAAAAATTATATATTAATTTTTTTAAATTAGTAATACAGTATAGGGGTCCTATTTTTGTGACCCGCTATATATATAAATTTTTTTTTGGCCTGCATAATTTTTTATAAAATTTTGGCCCAGCCCGCTCTTATAAAATTTTGCTTTAGGCCGGGCCACGGGACCCAATGCAGGCCTCTAATACAGTATATTATTTTATAATAAAAGTTATATATTATTTTTAACATTAAATTTATATACAATAAAATAATATAATAATATTTAAAATAAACATATATAATAGCTATACTTTATTTATATCATATATTGCAATTTAATTTGTTTATTATATAATTTATATTTTATTTACAATAAATTTTATAAATTTACATTAATTATATTAATTACAAATATTAACAATTAATTTATAACCTTAATAATACTGCAATATAAAAAATATTTTATTTTTTTATATTTTACTTATCGATGTAACACTACTCCTGATCGACTAATTAGAATGCAAAACATTGTCTTTTTTGAATAATCGTCTGTAACTCAAGAATTTGTATATGAAACAACTTTTACATTTTAATTAAAAAAATTGCTTGCAAAATTTTAAAGTTCTTTTCTTTAAACCCACGTCTAATTCTAGACTAATGCTAACTTTAACATTAAACTAATGCATTTTTATTATTGTTTTGATTTAACATTACACGTAATTTTTATTTTTTTATTTTTTATATTTTTAATTTTTGGTATTGTTAGTTGTGTTTAATACCATAGTTGATATATTTCAAAATATTTTAGTTTAGATATAAATTAATTTTATATAATAATATTAAAGAAATTTTGTTCATAAACTAAACAATTCTTCTAATTCTAACAATAAAAACCAATATATAGCTATGTTCTTTTCAAATTCTAAGTTTAACAATAAATAACTAAATTCAAACATATATTTAATATTTTTAACAATAATAATCAAATTGATAATTTTTTAAATTTATTATTATCAGCATTATTATAATGCTAAAAATTTAATATAAATAATACTAATTTTATACTATATTAAATTTAAACAAAATAATTTATTAATTGTTTTATAATTATAAAAACAGTTGTAAAAGTTTTATTAAAATTATTAAAATTAATATTTTTGATTTTATTAATATTATATTGATAAGTAAAATAATTAAATTTTACTTTTATTTGTGATTTTTTTTTCTCTTAAGCAGTTACAATAATACTTTATTAAACCATTTGTAGCTACATATATAAATACAAAATATCATTTAACTTATAAGTCTATCATCATCTAATCATCCAAACAATACTTAAATGTAACCTCTGCACTAATCCAGTTAAGATTAAAAATTATGACGCATTTAACCTCTGTTCTACAATAAGATATCATCAATCTGAAAACATTTTCTTATAGAAAAGAAAAAAACAAAAAAAAAAAAAGATTTTAAAATTGAAGAAAAAAGAAATAAAAATAGTGAGAAAAATAAAACTAACAAAAAAAAAATAAAACTAATCTATAAAGAGAATATAAGAGGAAACCTGCTAACAGGATAAAACTCTATTCTATAATTGCTGCTCATTATAATGTTTTTATTATTTTATAAACTATAGTTATTCTCTAAAAACTAAGTACTCTTAATCAGAATGAAAACTGTATTTACTTATAGAATGGAATTTGAGCCAAGCACTTTTCATATAGAAGAATTCTTCAAATAGGTGAGATACTGTGCCAAAGTTTAAAGTGTACTTAAGTAGTCCAATTTTTTATAAACTTCCATAACCACTTTTTTAAAAAATATTATACACATGACCTCAGAATATATATATATCTTAATATATTTTTAATCTTTTTGAATTAAATCCTTTTTCAATCTACTCCATATAATTAACTGACTCATATGTTTATTATATTTCTTATTTGTTATATCCAAACAAGCATATAACCACAAAAGAAAGTAATGTACAATGTCAATCTTTTAATGAAAGTAAGTCAAATCCTTACTTTTTAAAAAAAAGAAAACAAAAAAAAAATAAAGAGAAGATATATCATTGTTGTAAGGATTCAAATTAAAAAAAGTTTTTCTAGTTGTTCTTCTTTTTTTTCTGTTTCTAATATTCTTAACCAGAGAACTAATTTTGTCTTTACTTGCTTCTAAAATATCTTTCCAGTTTAAATGCTGAATATATTAAGAAGTTCACCAAACAAAAAGCTTAACCCAAGGTAAAAATCATTTAAGTTTTATCTACTTCTTAGTATATCACATATTTGAGCTTTGTTGATAACAAATTTACTTAATATAAAACTAAGAATATTATCTACTTTGAAACCAGAGTCTTTAATTTACTTTTAGTACTAACTTAGTCCAGGTGATCATTAGAAAGAGTTGATCTTTATTTTGAAATATAATAAATTAAAGTAGTTAATAAGTTATTAATTTTTAAATAACAAATATAGTATTTAAATTTTAGTTATAATAAAATTTAAAAATTATATTTGTATTATAGTAATTGTTTCTTAATGATTAGTTGAATTTATGTATCTATAATTTTAAATACATTAAGTTAGATTTTAGTCAATATTAAAAACTTAAAGCATCTATATAAAATATAATATTATATATAAATTAAAGAATGTTTACTAATATTATATAAGATTTTAATATAAATTTATAATAAAACTACTAATACAAAAAAACTAAAAAACTAAAAAAAAACAAAATCTTATTTGAAAAATTTTGAATAAAAAAGTAATACAAACTTTAATAATACTATTAGATTAATAAAAACTTATAACTCTATCACCTTTGAAATCTTTACTCCAAGTGAATCTACGAACAAGCTTATATCTATTTCACATCACAACCTCTCCTATCAGCAATTAT